CATTTTCTCAAGTCTGCATTTTTTGTCTACCCTCCTGTTCTGGCTCCAAGCATGCGGTTTGTGTTCCACCACTTCAGAGGCCACAGAATCTCTGACAGGAAGAAACTTACATTAAATCTTGTTGCCAGCTAGAAATGATACTACAACACAAAAAGAATTCTGATACAACACAAACAGAATTCTGATAAGTAAGGCATACATTCCTTTGCTTTTCTCTGTGTAGTGCACAATGATAAACTTGGCCAAATACAAAAGAAAAAACTACATATTTAACTAGTACAATCTTGAGAAGCAGAGGTCTGAAAACTGAAATGCCTCATCAGCAGTTAGATTTTACCACCCAAATAATTTGTGAACATTTTTCTAATGAATCAAAGCGTTGACATGAATGTAACAAAACAGCACCATCCTGGGAGGTTGTTTTAAATCAGACCAGATATTTCTGTTCCTGTTTTGAAGAGTGTGCAGCATCTACCAAATGGACCAAGCAAACTTTTTTTAGGAAATATTTAGGGCAAAATCAGAATGCATCATACGTGCCTCCAAATCAGCAACGCTCTTGCAAAGCTGCTGGTGATTTTTATGCACACATGCCTTGCTCTCCTTAGAATGACTTACATAAATGCACAACATTTACATGTAAAGTGCACTTAGACCTTTAAAAGCAGATGACTTGGCCAATCAAGTGCCTTTGCAATACTTCAGGTGCTGAATAAAGAGTTGCAGTGCCATTATGTGCCCTTGAGCTACTAGATGAGTTACTGATTAAATGACTTAAAATGCTGTTTTAGCTTACGATTTATTTGGATCTTTGGCACAGTTCAGTTTTAGAATTTTAGTCAATCCACCATTTACCTGACTCCAGAAAAAACACTTCTGGCAAAAACTTTAGTGGCTTTGGAAAATTAAAAATGTTCCAGTATGACAGCCTGATTACATTTATAGTACATTCACCCAAAGCTCTAGGAGAGAAGGCAGAGTCACCTACTTGAGGTGCACACAGCTTCTAGCCCAATATGAAGCTATATTGACTGTCTCATCAATGTTTCTCTCATGTCTTCTCTGCAGTGCTCACTACAAGTTAGAAAGCTATTTGCCCACTTTTATTTAAAAAAAATTGAAAATTAAACATTAAAATGACAACCATTTGTATGATGCTTCCTTTACCAACCACAAAACCTCTTCTATGCAACAAGACCATTTCAAGGTTTCCTCATTATTTTGAAAGACATTAGTAGACTGAGACACCCGACTAATGCCCCTGGGAAAAAGTTAATGCTGAGATTATTTTTTATGGATAGCCCTTCCTCACTCAGTGTAATTTGTTCTTAAGTTAATTTTTTTTTACATTGTTTTCTTTCTTGAAACATTTTCCTACGCATTTTACCAGAAGATTGCAAAGATTTTACTCCCTTTCACAGAAAGAAGACACCTTAACTGAGAAATAAATAAAAAAGGGAATCAGATACAGTATAGAAATTATTATTATCATACAATAGAATTTATTAGGGAATCATTGTCTCTTTTTATGGCTATTTTACAATTAGTATGAAGTTCAATATGTTAAGAGCTCTAAGGCTATGTCATTTCAATGTGGTGGTACTCAAGCTGAATGGGTTTTCACACTAACTTTTAATAAGTAGAGTTATGTGAACTGTATAAGTGATGGTGAGCAAGTCTGACACAGAGTTACTAGCTCATGACAAACTTCCCCACAAACAATTTTTCATTTCTGTTTTACAAACACTAATCAGGTAAAGTACAATCAACTTTATTACCCAATTTTATTGAAACAACCTAAAATAACTGTATCTCATAACTTCATAGTACCTGTGAATGCAACATTTCCATCTTTGACAATGTTTAAGATATCTTTCACACACTTTTACTCTTTTCAGGATAGCACGCTTATATTTTGATTCTAGCTTTTCAACCTTCCTTTTGTAGTACACTACAGCAACCTGTGATCTTTGATGACACTGTCTGTGGTATAAAAGTTGGTATTAGTCTGACTCAGCAGCAGTGCATCAAACAATGATGATTTCAGGACTAAGAGAAAAAGGGCTCTTTTGCTGCTTTCTGTTGCTTTAAAATAAAACATCAAAAGTAGGGAACACCAAATGAAGATAATTCTCTTAAATAAACAGTCTCCACTTCTGAGCTGTTGTATACACAATGACAGATGCTGAAAGGAGCCCCTTGAGATCATCTACTTGTGTGCTCACAGCAGGGCCAGCTACAGCAGGTTACCTAGGTCATCTGAAGCTGTGTTCAGCTGAACTCTGACTATGGGTAAAGATGAGCACTACACAGTCAGTCCCAATGTTCGATCTGCCTCACAAAAAAAAAAAAAAAAAAAAAAAAAAAAAAAAAAAACCCCAAAAAAACTTTCTAATTTCAAATTTCAGATTACACAGATTATATTTTCTGGTTTTTAGTGTGTCATGATAGACTCTTGCCCTCCCAGATTGCAGTACAGGGAAATGTTCAGCTCTCTCCACTCCCTCCCTCAGATATTCACACATAACAGTTAATATCCCGCCAAACTTTTCCTTCCCCAGGATGAACAGCCCCAGCTCTCTCAGCATCTGTGCCCATGCTGGATGCTTCAGTCCTTCAATCACAGCTGTGGCCCTGCACTGGACTTCCTCCAGTACATCCATCTCTTCCTCATGCAAGACTGGAATTAGACCCAGCATTTCATACACATCTGCACTCACAGTGCAGAGAAGAGGGGTAGGATCACCTCCCATGATCTGCGGGCAAATTTCTGCCTATCAGGCCTGGAATGGTCTTGCTTGCCTTTGGTGTAAGGGTGCATTGCTGGTTCATGTGCAGCCTGTCGCAGGACAGTCTCCAAATCCTCTTCTGCAAAGTGTTCAACCAATCAGTCCCCTACTAACATACTATCTTCCTTATTTCTGACTTTAAGATATTAACAATGCCTAGAGAGTAGTGAGAAAAATTAGGACCTGTAGGACCTGGCATATTCCATATGAGTGGTACCTTGTTGTCCAACATCAGCCAATTAAAGGAGCTCAAAAATAAACAAGAAATACTAAAAAAAAAAAATATATATATATACATAATATATAGTATATATATAATATATATATATATATATAATATATATATAATATATATATATAATATATAACCCCACCTTTAGAAGGTAATCACATATTTTACATATATGAAGTTGTTTTGAAAGCTGATTTGCCCAGGTTTCCAGAACTGAAAAAGACAGTTTACTGTCAAATACGTCTCTTAAAGAAAAAAAAAACAACAAACCAGGAATGACACCATGAGGCTTACAAACCGCTCTTTTGTTTTTCCCTAAAATACAGGCATTGTCTGCCTTTTCAATGAATGCTGAATCAACTTTATTTATCAGAAGACAATTGCATTTGTAACATTAAACAACAGCCCCTTGTCAATTTCACCAAAACGATGGTATAAGGATAAGACAATCAGGATGTCAAATGTTTTCCTCATCGCTGCAACAGCTCAGATTTGCTTTCTGTCACTAACAAGTTTGCTGCCATAATACGATCTGCACCACAGGCTAAGCTATGCCTAAAACCCATTTGAATTCTTTCATGTATACAACTCACCTGAAAAAGTACAAATATAATAAATTATTGCCATTTTGTTTTGTATAAAACAAATTGGCAATAATTAACCATCTATAAACAGTGCAAGAGACCAGAATCTCTACTCACCAGCGCAATCCAGCACAGCTGCACATACTGAAGACAAAACACTGTTAGTCACATCTTTTGTTCTGCTTCAAAAAAACGCAGAAACAAAAGCAGCAAAACTACTACAACACCTTTTCTGTCTTTTTCAATTACATGGTGCCATAATACCCCCTGGCACAATCAGATAGTTCTTGATGACAGTTGATCATTTGCCTGCAAGGGGCAGGCAACCGAACTACGGCCATTATATATCACTTAACATTGCACTTCTACACTATTTATTTCTGAATTTTTGAAGGTGAATCTCAAAACAGGCTCCATTCATGACAAAAAAAACACTTAAACATTTAATGGCAATGATTTTCACTGGAGGTAGCTAGTGGCTACCTCCTTACTAAGGTAGTAAGAAAAGGAAATCAAACTATGTATTAAATGCAATGTTAATAAAGTTTAGTTACACACCTGTATCCAAAAGCCTTGAACTAGGATGAAAATCCTTACCTCTAATGTTGTTTTTTCTGAATATACTCTGAATTTCAGAACTCACTGAAATATCCTTGATCAAAAAATCGTGCAGGAACCTAGTTGCTTGAGAACAAATTTCTTTCAACTCAATTGACTCAACATATAGTAAATGCAGGGCACCCCCAACGAAGGAAATGATTAGCATCTGACTGCAAGGCTTCAAAACGCTGAACACTCACTTTATTAAAGCTACACTACATTGCATTACTATATTAAAGAGAGATACTATACTATATTATACTTACTACTAACTAACTAACTAGAGAACCTGTGACTCTCTGCTCAAGAGTCCTGACACACACACGTGGATCTAATTGGTCAATCCTTGCGTAAACAATTTTCAAAACGCATTTTACAGGGGCACAAACACGGGAGTAGCAAATGAGATAAGAATTGTTTCGATCATTCTTTTCTCTGCTTCTCTCTGTTCAGAGGGCATGTGAATACCACACTCAACAAAGTGCAAAAGACAATAATTCATTTTAATAACAAAGAAGGAAATAGTAGAATTCATTACAGAAAAAACGTTTACAAGCAGCTTTGCAGCAGAAAGCCTGTGTCCTGAATGGCAAATTGTAGTAAGGTGAGGCATGGGGATAGGAGAGTGATCAGAACAGCAGCTGCTGATAAAGGAATGTGCTGGCAGTTCAGAACAATGAGTTATTGCTTTTGATATCAGATTTTCTTAAATAAATGGAGAGTTGCTAAGTATTTTGATATTGCAAGCAACGGCTGCTACTACTTTGAATAAAAAGAAAAAGGAAGAACTGCAAGTTTGTGGAATATTGTTTACTGGGAATCAACACATCTTAATCCAAGTTTTCACAATACTCAAAGCTACATTTAAGTATACAATAGTCTCAATCACAAAAACAAGCAGAACAATTAAACTACGTAAGGCCTTAAAAGCACAGTGTGTATTGTTGGAATATTATTTTGTTCATAATTAGGCTACATATAAGTAAGTTTATTTTTCATAGTTTTATTCATGTAAAATGCATTCAAGGGAAAGTCAACTTAAGTTTATTTCATGATGAGTTAATAGCAAAATGTCAATATTCTCTTCGTGTCACTTCTCCCACCCCACACAGGCCCAATTAGTAAAATTTCCACACAATACTCAAAAAACAATAAGCTTTTACACTAAACATCCAAAATTAAGCCTGATCAGACAACTGCTAAGTTGTAAACTCTTTATTACAATGTTGGAAAAACTTTAAGGTTCTTCTTAATGACACATTGTGGCTCTAGAAAATCAGTGTTTAAAACTACATGGTTCAAGAAGTCTTCCAGATTTTAAGTCTGGTTTCAAAGAGGTATTTTGTGGCCTCAGTAGCAATCATGTGAATGATACTTGCATTACAACAATGATAATTTATGGAATAATTTTGGCAAGATTAGGGCTCCTGAGAACATGAGCGAATACATTTTATTATCCTGAAAGCTAAGAGACAATATGAGTACAAAATAACTAAAGGAAAACTAAGCACAAAAGAAATGAAAAATATAGGAAAAGATATCTATTTTGTCCCCCTCTCCCTGTAACACGGCATGAGTAATTTCCAGTGACTGTTTATTCTCATTACATACATTAGTATTTGTTCAGATTTCATGGCTATTACATTTTTACAGAACAACAGTTTAGAAGGCAATTTTTTAATTACACCTGTGCAATAGAGTAAGTCACAGTACACTTTGAGATGTTTAAAAAATATTTATAAACTTGGTTTTGATATGCTAAAGCACTTGGTAACACTTTTACAGCATTTGGTTTTATATAATTAAATTTTCTTACAGTACTCCTTGTGATTTTTTTCTTTACATCTAAGAGAAAAAACCTCACACAAAGAAATATGAACTGCCAAGTCTGACTGCATGATCATGTAATTCCAGTTTATAATGCTGACATTAAAACCTTCATTAATTATGTTGACAAATCATTACTTGTAGATTTAATGAAGGCAACCAAGATGATTTGAAAACACAACATTCAGGTTTTAAGTTAAACATTTATCAAAGTGTGCAGTTCTGCAGTGAAATGAAAAAAACATGTAAATACACAATGAAAGTTACAAGTTCACCAGTTCCTGTGACACAAACTGTTTTAATCTTTCAAGGTACTGACCATAGAGTTCCACATCATTATGGCCCGCTCCTTCTACCCACAGTGGTTCTACAGGTCTCTGGCAACGCTCAAATAATGCCAGGCCATGTGAAAAGTCAATTACTTCATCTTCAGTTCCATGGATTATTAAGACAGGAGATGTTATTTTAGAAATTTTGTCAATGCTGTAAAGAAAAAGATTACATCTATGAAAACAATAGCATAGTTCTGCAATACGACAGGAATTTTCTTCAGTTAAGATCTACTTTGTTTTTCAGTGTTACAGAAACATATTGCAAACGACTTTGTTCACAGTCATCCAGACTAACAATTCACTGGATAGAACTACTTCTTAAAACTAGGGATTCACATCTTATGTATAGGAAAATGAATTACTTCTTTACAAATATCCACTAAAATAATTAGAGGTGCAAAGTGCCCAGAAGGTTTACGAAGTTTTGTAAACTTCTTAAAATCAAATGCTCCTCTTTGATGTTTTTCACTAATTTTCTTCAATTATTTTATTAAACCTTTGAAAAAAATTTCAGAGAATAGGCCAGACTACTTGCTTCTCTAGCTGAAAACTTCTGTTATAGAGAAAATGCATGCTGGATAAAAAAAAAGTATCCTACAACTTACTTCGGGAATGCATCAAAGCAGTATGTCTTCTTTGTGTCAGGAAAAGCTACTCGCATTCCTGAGGTCAGTGGAGAGTGAAGAATTACAGCAGCACTTTCATACCTAGCAGCAAGATCCACAGATGGTACTGTGCCTATACTCTGGCCATATATAATCACATTTTCAGGGCGAATTCCATACCTAGAAAATTAGAAATGTTTAGAAAGTGGTATATAAAGTGAAACACAACCTAGAGAGCAAGGCAAAAAAAGCATTTCTGAAGATGAAAGTTTTCAGAAGGGTATCAACTATGAAACAGGAGGTGATAGAAGAACAAGCAAGTCTGTTCTATGACATTCCTGACTAAAACACACAATTATTTATTTACTCTCTATTTGCAGTAATTTTTTCCCTATGCCTGAATGATATTGAAATAATGATTTAAATTTTTAAACATGGATTTGTGAATGCAGTGTGCCTTGTTAAAAGTCTTTATTTATTAACTCAAGAGGACCTACAACAGAAAACTGATTAGAGCCTTAATAACTCTTTGGTTATCATCACATGAAGCACAATCAAGCCTGCAAAAATTTGGTCAGCTTTACTCTCCTGCTACCTGATAAAACCTGCAAGCTGGTAACATTGTTTATAAATGTGATGAGACTTAAAGCAGGCCCATACCGACAGTGATCAGTACAACAATATTGATCATTCTATGTAATGCCAAGAAGTTTGTTTTTATCAGCCTTGTTCTTATCTAATCCACAAGCAAGACAGCCCAACAGGGAATACAGAATTGAAGTCAAAGCGTTCCTTCTAGTAAGATGTAATTAACAGAGGCAAACAAAACAAACATCTAGTTAACACTCATACAAGTAATTGTAATATATTTTTCAGATTAGTGTGAATACAAAAAGCAATTGCTACCCAAGTTACACAGGAAAAGCCTGTGAAGAGAATGGTAATGAGTCAAGAACAGTGCCTGTGAAAGAAGTGAGCTGCTGATCCCTGTACCCCTAACCAGGTACTCTTAGCACGGGTCAGACTGCAGCAGTGTACCTAAACTTGGGAAAGGAAGTACCTTAAATAGGAAGGGATACCACATTGCATTAATACCAAACCCAAGAAAACCCCATACACAAAAAAACCCCAAACCAACAACAACCACCCTTCCCAAAACCCCCAAAACACACCAAGCAAATTCCTCCCCATCACCTCTAAAAATAAAGTCCAAAGCCCCCAAACTAAACAAAAAAACCCAAATCACTGTTCTCATGCATTATTAAAAACTTGTTCAACTTTTTAAGTAAGAGCAGCCTAGCCTAACGTCACTGTGGAACAGCATGAGGTAGGTTTGCCTTTGCCAAGCGAACTCTAAAAGGAATGAAAACCAAGGATAGGAAAGTGCACCTGTTACCTTGTCTACAATAAAGGCATGCATATTTTCTGTCAACATTATATAACAACACCCATAGCCAAAAAGAAGTTATCAAATGACTATAATTTGCATATCTCCAGTAAAGTTAGGGGAGCAGAAGTATAAAAGAAATTCACAAGTATCTTATAAACATCGGTAAATAAATGTATGGGTAACCAAACACTAAAATCAGTAAAATCTAAGAGACTAAAAATCAGGAACATTAGGAAAAAAGGTGTTTCATGTGTACCAAGACACTCAAATTACCAACCAACAAAACAACTCCCCCCAAATCTACAAGTACTTCTTAATGAGCCAGAAAAAAATGTCCTCTAAGTTGCATCCATATATAATATACAGTTAATAAAATAATATGTATCTAGGAAGATTTCAAGACTGTAGTAATACCTATATGTTACGTACCAATAGCAGAACTCATTAGGCATCCCAGTAACTTGTTAACTGTTCACATCTAACATTGTCTATTTAATATTCATTCATTCATTTATTTAAATTGGGTTCTGATAAAGTGAAATGTAAAAGGTTTTAAAGTATTAGCCTGACAAGCAATCTTGCTGCATCATGACTACTTAATCACTGTTTCCTAGAAAGAGTTTCTAGTCATAATCACATCATGATCAAATTAGGACTTCTAAAACTCTAAGTCTTCATCATCAGCCTGGAACTGCTACCAGGCCCTTCATATCACAACAGTTCTCAAAGTAAAAGCAATTTGAAGCATTAGCAACATTTTCTGAAAATTCCAACACACACAAATAAAATAAAGCTTTGAAACAAAAGACAAATCTAAGGTCTCCATTATCTCTGCATCTCTTCTGAAACACCTGAGAACATAGCACCTATCCTTTTACAATTCATCTCCCAATTCACATCACATCTGTCCACTGTGAAAGTACAGTACAACCTTCCCTCCTTCCAACATAATCTAAAGAAAACTTGCATTAATATGTTGCATCACTAGTATGGCATGCAATTTGCACAGCACATTATAACAAAACTTTTTTCAAATAATAAACCTTGCCAATTACTACACTTGCGTTTCCTTGCATGTTGAGTTTTACAAGATACAGACCATTACGCAGGAAATTAAAGCACAACTTAAAAACTAGATTTTAGAATATATATTCTCCTCTTTCTCATTTTTTCCCCTATTTTTTGATCAAATTCCTTCAGCCTGAACACAGATAAATGATGGCTACAAGAAAATAAGTCAAGAAAAGCATTTCCAATATCTGGATTAAAGTAATCCTTACTCCATCACAGTCAAATACATTGCCTCACAGTGCCCACCAGAAAATACATGCTTTGCAACCTGTAAACTAAAGTAAAGAAGTCAATAACTCAAAGTGGTTGTTCAAAGTACACTTCTGAATATTCTGGCTTGAATAGGATGAAAACCTAAATAATCAATCCTTGCCTCTCAAATAACAAATTCCAAGTATCTTGGAAAACAGATTATATCTGCTCATTCCAGTCTTCCCTTTTCTCTTGAAAAGCTTTGGTGGGCTGATCCTGGCTGGGTGCCAGGCACCCACCAAAGCAGCTCTCTCCCACTCTGCTCCATGCCTGGACAGGGGAGAGAAAATTTAATGAAGGGCTCATGCGCTGAGATAGGACTGGGAGAGATCGCTCATCAAATGCCATCATGAGCAAAACCAGCTAGAAGTAGAGATATTAATGAAATTTATTACTAACAAAATCAAAGCAGGATAATGAGATGTAAAACACACCTTAAAAACACCTTCCCCCCACCCTCTCCTTCCCAGGTCTACTGCCTGTCCCAGCAGTGCAGGGAGACAGGGAATGGGGGTTATGGTCAGTTCATCACATCTCGTTTCTCTCGCTGCTCAGGGTCAGGAGTCCCTCCCCAGCTCACCATGGCATCCCCCTCACAGGAGGCCGTTCTCCATGAACTTCTCTGATGTGAGTCTGTCCCACAGGCAACAGTCCCCCTCAAACTGCTGCAGGGTGGGTCACTCTTCCATGGGGTACGTCCTTCAAGGGCAGGCTGCTCCAGTGTGCACTCCTCTCTCCCATGGGGTCACAGCCTCCCTCCAGACATCCCCCTGCTCTGGCGTGGGGCTCCTCTGGTGCCTGGAGCAGCTCCTGCCCCTGCTTCCCACTGACCATGGCGTCTGCAGTGCTGTTCCCATCACATGTTCTCCTTTCACTCTTTTCTGGCTGAAATTACAACTGCGCAATGAGTTTTGTTTTTCTGTCTTCTTAAATATATTATCCCAGAGGCACTACCATAATTTCTAATTGGCCCAGCCTTGGCCAATGGCACACCCATCTTTGGAGCTGACAGAGACTGGCTCTGCCAGAAATGCAGGAAGCCTCTGGCAGCTTCTCACAGAAGGTACCCCTGTAGCACCGTGCTACCAAAGCTTGGCCATGCAAGCCCAATATAATAGGCTTCTGAAATAGTTACAAAAAAGAAAGCAACAGAGGGACAGTTGGGTTCTATCTCTCAAAAGTATCACTTTACAATCTACAACAAAAAAAATTATTTAAAAGGTAACTTTTTAAGTTTCCTACTCATAAAATTTGTTTACTTCTTTTGGCAGACTCATAGTCTGTTAAACTTCAAGAAGTTTTGTGCTGAATTACCAGATGACCATACCTGGTCTCCCAAAGAGGAGCGTCAGATCAAGAGAAAAAGTCACAGTAACATTGTTCTCTTAATCAGTACCTTATAAGTACAGGCCATTCTGAGGAAGGGGAATATGAAATTTACAGAGCCATATGCTTCAAGTAGTTCCTCTGGTTACAAGAGGTCAAAGACATGCGTAAAGACTGTTGCTACCTTTGAAAGCTCATTACGTTGATAATAGGACTAATGTAAACACTGTTGTCCACTCAACTTATCTTAGCTAACCTGTGTCAGCATAGACAGACCTTCAGCATGGGGGTGAAGGTAATGAAGGGTGGTTTTAGGTTTGGGTTTTTTGTTTGTTTTTTTTTTAAGCCATAATCACCAAAGAGAACCTTGGAAGAAAACCTTAGAAGTAGTTATGCACAGATGTACCAATGTGCTGGTTTTGCAGAGAAAGCACTATTCCTCATGGACCAGGTATTCTGGGCAGAATCTAGTACAGAACTTGACAGATATTTTCTGCAGTCTAAAGGCTGACTGCAACATCTTTCTCTTTCCCAGAGCAACTGAGATTTCAATTCCTTTCAACACCCAATTCATCCTTTATGTTCACACACTTAAAGTTTACCTGCCTGGAAAGAGATGGAACCTAAAGAGCAGTTTTGACACAGAACCTGTGTTCACATAAGCTTCCTGACATCCTCACAGAGTGTCTGAACACTCATGAATTTCTGCCTCATCACCACACTGAAGGCACAGGTTGATGTCACTACAAAGCTAAGCTACTGCTGAACAGAAAAGAACCACTTTCCTATTTGCAGCTTCAGCAATGCATTCCCCCTCATTAGGCTTTAACAATTAATGAAAGGAACTAAATAAATCTTGTCTGAGAGTAGTGGAGCAATTGCCTTAGCGCTCCTTTGTGCTGCCTGTGTTCAGGGACAGGCAGGAAACAGCATGCCACTGGCTGGTGAGGAAGGAGGAAGCCAATAAGGTGTTGTAACCGGCCCAAACTGTTCCAGTGCCCAGAACCAGGGCCCAAGACAACATTAATGAAGCCAGTATTCTTTTCTGTGTCCCTACATATGCTGACCAGATATAGATGGTCTCCTTAAAAGAAGAAATCCTACACACTCCTGGCCTGATCTTTTCAGCTTCTGGAAGGAA